AAAGGCCAAACACTGAATTCAGAGTTGTGCTGTTGTACTAAAGTTTTCACTATCTTCTGACAGATTTCTGATTCATTCTAACACTGGTGTGGATTCTCAACTATTTCATCACTCTGAACACTTCACCAAAGTCAACTAAGCCCATTCTGGCTTACCAAGTAGTAATTATCTTCGTATTATAATTGTACATTATCAATTTTGGTTTGATCGAGCTCTCAAAGATGTCCAAGATTGGTGTTTTCTAAGGTGTAATGAAAAGCTTGAGAACTAAACCACTGAACTAACTTGTAGAGTTTCACTAAGCGCTATAAAAGGGATTGGTTTTATTGTTCTAAAACAAATATGTGTCATGCTGCCTTAAATTGAAACTGACAGTGGAAATGTATTACTTGAGTGTAGTTGCCATCAAAAACCACTAGATGGCAAGAAAACAGCATGATTTCATATCTTTTTAAGCTTCATTTGAACATGTTGAATGTCGTTCACATCAAAATCATTGTTTATCATATAAGATTTTTGATCAATAAATTGTCAAACTTTAATATCATCTTTGTCTATAAAGTTAATTGCTCATACATTCAGATAATTCATGTCTTTACCATGATTAGACTCTGTACTCTGAATGCAATAGGTTGTATTTAAATTGAGGAAAAATATTTTTAATGATAACTTTTGCTTACACCTACGAAAAAACCCCAACATTCAGTTTGTCACAAAGTAAAACATCGCATGAGACCAATCTGAAAATTGACTGATACAGTACTCCACAGGAAGGGTAAGCCACATCAGTAAAGAATCTCGTTGTTCACAGTGTCTTGTGTGCATGCATACAATTGAGTGGAAGGAAAACATGCAATATAAACATATATTTACTATACCTAGATTTTTTCCTGCTGAAAATATGTCTGATGTCGTAGACGTGACTGCTGTGACTTTGGACCAGCAGATGTATACCCAAATTATCACTGCCTGTAAAAACCTCACACTGAACATCCAGCAAACTCTGCCTTTCCACTCTACTCCATGTCTATTACATTTCTCAGAAAGTAAAACATTGTATAAGACCGATATGAAAAGTAATTGGACCTTGATTTTTAAATAAAATGTACTTTTATCAGTGAAGTGGTTGGAATACCAAGTAACAATCCAGTTCATTTTCTTCTTGGTCCAGGTAAGACACAGATATTGCTTCTGGTCCAGTAGTGCAACTTAATACGCAGAATGTGACACCAACTAAAAATCGATTTTAGTTATTTATTTTTAAAGCTGAAATTTGGGTCTTCAGTTTTTTGTAGCCTATAACCACCCAAATAGAAATACACTAAATGGTTAAAATAAATCACTCTAATATGAATTTCACTTTTTATATTTTTAAATATTGAAATAAACTGACAGATAAACGTGTAGCGTTTAACAATGCTTTACTGTTCATTTCAACAGTGTGGAGTAACAGTAAAGTAACTTTGCATTTTACATCTGCATCATCTGTTGCAGGCATGTCCAATCGCTCTATCGAATTGTCGATTGTTTATTCATAACGATTAAAAATTTGACCATTCCAGCTGCGGGTTTGATTGCTCTGGTCTGAGAAAGAAAAACTCCAGCGTATTTTTTATTTTTTATTTTCCTTCAAGGAACTGACAGGGGTTTGTCAACAGGGGGAGAAACAAAACGAGGCGAGAAGACTGCCTTGTACGTGGAGCTGATAAACGTTATTAAACGGTTTAGTATCCAAATCTTTACGTTCGTTTGTGGCTCTG